ATGCACTTGCTAAACTAAATCTCCGACTATGCCTTGCTTTGGCAGGGCCAACTTCATGATTCCCGACAATTTTACATGAGTTGCATGAGTCCTCTTTTCCAAATTAGTGCATGCTTTGGACCTTACAACCATTTCTCTGCTCCGCAAACCTCCTCTGGATTCAACTCTCCGTTGGCATGGGTGCCAGGAAAGCGTCTTGCTCCTGAGTCTGATCATCCTAAATCCCTTTTCTGGATATGCCCTCCCTGTGATTTGCTTGGAGTGGCCTTTGCCAAACATCTAGGACATCTCCTGCACAACATCTGACTTCCAAAAGGCATAAGCACGTGACTGGGAAAGGAGTAGAACTCGCTGCTCGGCAGTAGCGGGTGGTGCCTCGGAGGTAGCAAGCATGTGGCCTTGCTCTGGCGCAAAACTCTGGTCAGTCTGCATTTTTTGCCTACAGTATCAACCTGCAGTCACTTGCAGTCCCAGGCACGTCCGCTTGTCAGAAGGACCTCAGAGATTTGATCTGAACTTGCTGAGTTGCCTTCAAAAACCGTGTAGTTACGAATAGCCTGAGCCTTTTCAAGAGCAACACCTTAGACCTTGCATGACCTCGTCGTGTTGTTTCAACATGTTGAAAGCCCAGTTTGGTGTTGAAGCATGTTGAATTCAACTTCTGGTGAGTCAATCCAATCCTGTTGAAATCAAGCCGTGAGCAAAAAAAATAATATAAACATATATATATATAGTATGTGTAGACCATATATTGTTCTATGATGTTCTCGCTTCATTCGACCAGGACACTCCTCAGCAAACGATCGTGCTGAGCACCGCCTCCTGGCCTCGGTGCGGCCGTCGACCGAGCGACTCCGTCGGGGGCGACTCCTCAATTGACCGAGCACCGTACAAGTGATGAACGCCGAAGCTGTTGTGAGCCACCTGTGGGAACTTTTCATGCAAATGTGGGAACTTTTCATGCAATGAAGTACAATGTAATGCTGGTCGATAGTCTCTTTTCGGCTCAACGAGCAAGCTTCTGCTATGTTTGAGACCGCACCCTCCATTCGATGGCATTGACCCAGGGGAAGAGAAGCCCCTTCATCTGTGGTATGTCGTAAGTCGCAACTATGTATGTTCTCATGAGTTACATAATGTGTCCCCTTTGGCCTTGCCTTTCAAGAGCAACCTTCAACTTAGTGCTGCACTTTGGGCCAGTTGCAGTCGGAGTAGCAGTTTGGCAACGTTTTGCGCCTCATCTCCGACCGCAATTCGTATCTATCTGCATGATGCTGAGTGATCACGTTCTTACCGGATTTGCTTGGCCATAAGAGCTTTCTAGGCTACCCTGCACTAGCTATATACTAGCCGCTAGCCCTTGCAAGTAAGAATACATATTGCGTAATATCATCATCGCCTTTGGAAATAAGAACGCTTCTTTAAAACAACTTGCACGCGTTGCATTCTGTGTTCTTTGAACGCTTTGCAACCAACTGAACTGCGATCAACTATCGCTGTGAGGTTGTGAGCCCATGGCCACTCATGGGTGGCCCCAAGGACACCACAGCCCAGGGCTCGGCCTCCCTGGCACACAAGTCGAACTAGTAAGGCCAGGAGCCCCTAGTAGCGTTCTTGCTCCTAGTAGCGATGCCAGGAGCCCCTAGTAGCGTCCTTGTTCCTAGTAATTAG